TGTGTGTGTGTGTGTGTGTGTGTGTGTGTGTGTGTGTGTGTTTTCAGCACCAGGAGCACATTGGAATCATATGTTGGACTTGTCTTACATATTCCCCCTGTACCCCATCCTAGATCAGAACCCTCAATAAGAGGTCCTGGGTACCTGTATGTGTGGCAACCCCACATGTGAATCTAACATCTATAGCTATGACAGAGATAGTACAAGATTTGCCAATCCAACATCCGTCATTCAGACAGTTCAATAAAGCCTGTTTCATCAATCATGTCGTACAACCACCGCCAATATCAACTGGCATATTTTCCACCCCAGAAACGCTAACTAAATGGTTTCACTCTTTAAAAATACAATGGATGTATTGGGAGGTTAGTCAATAAAGAGAAATGTTACAGGTGTTTTGTTTTGTTTAAGCAGAACCTTTTTGTTATCATCTGGGGGTGGTTGTTTTAAAAGCAACAAGAGAGAGAAGACAATGGAGAAGCGGATGAAGAAATGGGGTTTCTTATTTTCACACGTCCATGTCTCCAGATGAGGGAGAGACATTGCCAAAGACACACAAACACGCAAAGGCAGATGAGGTCAGAAGAGTAGAGACTGAGAGTCTGATTCCTTCTATTATCTTCTCAACTTTGTCTTTGAAGAGCCCTTTCTCTTGGCTTCTTTATCTTGTTTAGCTTGTTTTCTCTCTAGCTCCCCTCATTTCTCCTTTTCTTCTCTCTTCCAATCCCTCTGATTTTTTTTTTTAGGTCTCTCTCTCCCCCTGTCTCTGGTGGTCCCAGATCCGTGGGAACAGTTCGTGTGTTTGGCTAATAACCAAAAAGTGAGTGCTTTGAGTGCCCCCTGAGGTGTCTCAGAAGAAAGGTGTGATGCATTACTTCTGAAAAAATCAACCACTGGAAACTCCATGCAACACAGTCAGTCCGTGTGGGGGTCCCTAGGGAATGCAAATGCTTTAGAAGCTTGGCTGCTGATCAAAAAGATGGAAGTTCAAATCCACTCAAAGATGCCTCCTGGAAAGTGCTAGAGATCCACTTCTAAAGAGTTCAAAGAATAAAAACCCTATGGAACCCGTCTTGAGAGACGCCGAGATGTATTGGGAGGTTAGTCAATAAAGAGAAATGTTGCAGGTGTCGCAACCACCCCCAGATGATAACAAATAGGTTCTGCTTAAACAAAACAGAACACCGGTTGGCACAACGCAGTTCACAAAGACAATGGTCTACATTCGACTCGGGTGATTAGCGACTGGGATCTTAAAAGGTGGTGAGCAGCTCTCTCGGGGTGACTGTTGGTCTTTCCCCAGCCAGAAGGAAGAGAGTGACGAAAACAGAAGCGCACGTGAAAACACGCAGTCCACAACCCTGGAACCAAAAGTAGATGGTGCCAAGCTGTCACTGCCATCAGCTCCCCAAAGGATCGTGTTAAGCGGTCCTAGGTAGAGTAGGTGAAAACATGGGGAGGGGAGGGAGGCCTTAAACATAAAAGAGACCGGCTAATGGTTGGATAGGACAGGTGGGACCTTTAACATTATGGCCCCTCATCAACCTTCAGGTCTAGAACTTAACTCACCGTCAAGTTAGAAAAATCCACTCTGTACGATTCAAAGGGGCGTTGACCCAATGACAGAGCTCAGAGGGTTGGGAAAGGGAGAGGAATGGAAGTGGGGAGTGGGAAGTGGGAAGTGGGACGTGGGTAGTGGGACATGAGAGCTGGTACTGGCAGTGGATGACTTGGAACAAACTATGTGTGAATTGTTGAACGTTAAAGACTGATGAGCTGCTCTGTAATCCTTCATTTCACTCACAGTAAAACAAAAAGCTTATCAAAGCTGACTGCCATCTAATTCCAACTAAATAATAATCAAATCAACACCCGATGCAGCACAGTTCCACCCAGACACGCATGGTCACCATGAGTAGCAGTCGATTGACTCCACAGCAATTTTGTTGTGTTTCTCCCTGACTCTACCTCTGTCTCTTGCTACCTCCTGCACCACGCCCTTTTCGCCCTCACAGTCTCTCACTCCCTGCCTCACAGCCTCTCCCTTCCTCTGGGACCCCGTGTCTCCCATCCCTGTGTGGTTTCAGCTCTTCTCCCCAACCCTAGGCTACATGGCTGGGCCCAAAAGACAGACCCCGCCTCTCCCTGCCTTGAATGCTTGCTCCACCTTCCCTCCCTGCCCCCCTCCCTCCCTTCCTTCCTCGCTCACCTGGCTGGAGAAAGTGCTGATCAATGCAAAGGACTCATAGAAATTGTCCAGCAGCCTCAGGAATTGTGGATCTTTGTAGGCGAAGCGTTCTCCAAAGACAATGGAGCAGATGATGTTGGCAGTGATGGCGTGGAAGAGGAAGGTGGGGTCCAGTAGGGCTCCTAGAAGGAGAAGTGGGCAGGTCAGGGGACAGGAAGTCAAGAGGAGATGGATTTGCCTGCTGCCTCATCTCTGTCTAACAATCCTCCACTGCTCGGGAGTCAGAGCAAGAATACTAGCATCTAATTCTGGGCTTCTCTTATGATACCCCAGGTCCCATTGGACGTATGCCACCTATGGTTCCATTTGCTTCTCACCACAGCCCTGTGACAAGTCCATCGCTCCATTTTCTAAATGGGCAAGCAGAAAGATGAAATCATTCGAACAATCTCATCCCAGCTACTAATTGCTGAGGGAGCCAGCATTCAGACCTAGACAACCCGGTGACAGAATCGTAGCTGTTGATCCTTATCCTACATCTTCTGGGGAACCTCAGCTCTGTGAGCCTCTACTCAACTCTGTGAACAAGGCCCGGGGGCGGTTGGTGACACAGAGCAGGGGATCAGTTTATGCACACTGAAAAGGCTTGATCCTCCCCATCCCTGTCACTCGACCTTCATCACCTCTCTCCCCTCTAAGCTCTCTGGCCTTCACTTGTCTATCGATGCCTATATGAATGGGACCCAGGTTTTCCCCCGTTCCTGATTGAAGGAGGTGGTTGTGGGCTGGGAGCTCAAGGACATCCAATTGGTACAGCCTCTCTCTTTGAGTTATACTTTGTTGGTCTTCTCATGTTTCTATTGGTAACTCTGCCTGCCTGCCTGTCTGTCTGCCTGTCTGTCTGTCTGTCTAATGTGTGTGTGTGTGTGTGTGTGTGTGTGTGTGTGGTGTGTGTGTGTGAACAAATCATTTGCCATTTCGATGTTTTTCATAAATACAGTTCAGTGGCTCACTGAGTTGTTCGGCCATCATCCAAAACTGTTCCCTAATTTTTCCGTCACCCTCAAACAGATGCTCAGTGTCCCCTAAGCCTTAATATCTCCTTTCCTCACAGGGCACTAACCCACCCAAGGGGAGGGTATTGCTTATATCTCCACAGTGAAAGAGGACCAGACTTCCACCCAGTGCTCCAAGGTGTGAATGCAACATGCCGGCGTGCAGTAGGGAACCAGTCTGGGGGGCCAGCCACAATCCCAACTACTAAGTGTACACCTGCCCCTCCCCCCAGAAGAATTTATTTCAAAGGATGGCATTGAATCTGCAGCTCTGGAAGAGGGACATACCTAATCGGAGCACATGGGAGCAAATGAAGGGGGAGAAGCAGAGAGTGGAGCACATCCTGGCCAACCAGGCCGTGAGGACGATGTCCCAATTAGAGCAGCCAGTCCACAGAGAGGACCACATGGCCGGCCCCACTAGGAGACATGACGCCCCTCACTGACACATAGCCCTACAAGGGACAACACCAGAGACACAGTGTGGGAATTGCACCCGATCTGATCCCACCACAGTGAGGCAAAACACTAAGGGGGTGTAACAGAACAGCAAGAGAATGGAGCGGGCGAGGTCCCCAGGGAATGCTGAAGGTGGACTTTGGGGCCAGGGTGTGGTGCCCCAACAGACTGGACT